ATATACTGATATAATTTATATCTGTCTTATGACAGAAGCGTGAATGTGTCGTAAGAATATTCTTCATATTTATATTCATAACATTTTTTAAAAATAAATATTTATAATTAAAAATATATTTAAACAAATTGATCACTCTATTCAATAAAATACTATAAACCTAAACTCAAATGCACTAAAAAATAATATGTTTTATATAAAATCAATGCTTGAATTACGATAAATGGGAACATTTGGTTCAGCACTCAAAGCACTCTTTCATTCAAGTAGAAGAAACTATCGTACAGTTTAAGTCAAAGTTAGGCACCTGTAGGCTCTCTCCCTTTCCTATACACAGTCAAGTATTTCAAGTTTTCTTATATTAAATGCACTAAATTTAATACTAATGAAATGAAAAGCACTTGTATTATATCGCAATTCACTTCAACCGACTTCAATATATAGCACAAAATGAATAGAAGATAAATGACACAAATATATTGCAAATAAATAATTTCATATCAATACTGACCACATCCATAGGTTGGGTGACAATTGACGCTAAGAGTCCGGCATTTAAGCCGATTGTAAACGTGAGAATCGGCGAAATAGACTGATTGCTGGGCGAAGTAGACGACGACCGGAGAGCCATTTGTCTCAATTGCGAGTAAAACATGTAATAGAGGCCCGAAAAGGGCGCGTCTCTCATAAGTGTTGGCATTAGTCCGGCGATGAGACCGCGCGGACCTTCGCTCACATACGTGTGTCTCAGGGCTTGTCTCAGAGTCTTGTAGGAAAAGATTCCGCTCTCATAGCGAGTCTTAATGACTGTAACGGGAATGAGAATAAAGCCCGAGAATGAACGCGATATGACGCCAAAACACAGCGCCTGTACGGCCGACGGCTGGCACTGAACTCCGTTTGAATTCTTGCAGAATCGAGTCTTCAGAAAGTCGAGCGCCGAAAAGTGCAGACCAACGCCCGGAGCGCACCGTAACAGTGACTATAGGTTTGCGTTATAATTAAAACAATTGTCTATAACAAGGCATGTATTGTTGTAATTACGGGAACAGTTCCTCTCCATAGGCCTAATATCTGCTCGTTTTTCAGTACTTGCGTTACTAATGGCACGAAACGTATTGTCGCCACACTATAGACAATTGAATTGTTAATTAATTTTAATCAATAAACTCAACGAATATTTGATGGCATACTTTGAAGGGTGTGCAGCAATACTGGCATTTTGTAGTCTAGTTTTAACCAAATCGAAACTAAAGTATCGACAAAAATTCACGTTTAAGGCATTGAATTCAAAGTTTTTTGACACAAAATACAACTTACGGTTGGAATAGTACTGTAGATACTGTGCCACTAATAGAACCGGACAAAAAGGACTTGAGGGTCGGGTGCTATACAATTGCAAACATACAGAGAAATGAAAAAGTTTAGAAAGTTTTTCACAAATTGTTAGAATATAAGTGTGAATATTCAACACTTACTCCACTCAACACTTCGGAGATTCTCTTCTGTGTCTGAAATGAGTCCATAATTAGTGTCATTACAAACAAAAACTGGTAATTCTTCGGCGATTCAAAACAAAAATCACACTTCAATTCTCAAACAATTTAAGTAACAAATTATATATTGAATGGTCAGTCAGTGTCTGCAGACTAACTGAAAACAGTGAGCGATAAAAGTATTTAAACACTTTTTACAACTTGTTTGCTCACAACTAATATTGATATTTAAAGACAAGTGAACCAAAAAAAAACTTTGCGAAAAGTGTTTGCGATTGAATTAAACAAATGAATTGATAATAAATTCAAAGACCTGCATGTCTTGCAACTCATGCGGTGTGGAGTGTGTGATCGGAAACCCCAATAACTCGTCAGCAGTTGGTGTACAACAACAGCATTGAAAGGAAGGCATTCAATCGGAAGGCACGGATTGGGCCGCTCTTTATCTACGATAATGTGGTTC